AACAGTGTTTTAATATTACTGCTTCATGTAGTTGTCGTTTAAATCAAATAGGATAAGGAAAGAGTTATGTACAAAAATACATTTATACTCTTTTATAGCTACAATTTAGTTATTTTTACCAGTATTCTTTATTTCTTAATGTGTATTGGTGTTATTGTCTCTCAAGTCCTTTTATTTCAGCTTGCTGGCTTCCTTAACTATTTCTTGTAGGGCAATTCTGCAAGAGACCAATCTCATTTCTTCATCTTTTTTTTTTTAAATCTGTAGATGTCTTAAATTCTCCTTCATTTTTAAATGACAATTTTGTAGAATATAGGAATCTTGATTGAGTATGTCATCCCACTGCATTTTGACCTCCGTGATTTCTATTGAGAAGTCAGCTGTTAGTCTTATTAAGGATCCCTTGTTTGTGATGAGTCGCTCTCTTATCGCTCCTTTCTAGATTTTCTCTTTTTCTTTTGACAGTTTCACTGTGTCTAGATGCAGATTTCTTTATGTTTATCCTACTTGGAGTTTATTAACCTTCTTGGTTGTGTAAATTAATGTTTTCCATCAAATTTGGGATTTTTTGCCCATTATTTTTTCAAATATTTTTTCTGTCCTTGTTTCTCTCCTTCTTGTCTTCTGGGACTTTCTTTATATCCATGTTGGTGTGCTTGGTGGTATCTCACAGGTCTCTGAGGCTCTGTTTATTAATCTTCATTCTATTTTTTTCTGTTCCTAAGATTTAAAAATCTCAATTGACATACCTTCAAGTTTGCAGACCCTTTTCTCTGACATTTCAGATCTTCTGTTGAGCCCATCTAGGAGATGTTTCATTTCAGCTATTGTGTTTTTCTACTCCAGAATTTCCAGTTGGTTCTTTTTTCTCTTCCTCTATGGATATTTCTGTCTCTTTATGGATAGTCTCTATTTAGTGAGACATCATTTTATACTTTCCTTTAATTCTTTAGGCACAGTTTCCTTAATTCATTGAATTTCCTGAATTCCTTAATTCATTGACAGTTCTTTAATTCAACATAGTTATAGTAACTAATTTAAATTCATAGTATATAGTAAGACCAATGCCTGGGTTCTTCAGGGATAGTTTCTACTGACTTTGTGTGGGCCATACATTTCTTTTCTTTGCATGCCTCATAATTTTTTTGTTGAAAATTGGACATTTTTAATAATAAATGTGATAATTCCAGAAATAGAATTCCCCTTTCCCTAGAGTTTTTTATTGTTGTTTTTGTTGCTGCTGCTGCTATTTTTTACTTAGTAACTTCCTGGCCTAACTATATAAAAGTCTGTGTCCTTTGTCATGTTTGACCACTGAATTCTCTGCTCATTAGGTTAGTGGTCATCTAATAGTTAGATAGAGAATCCTTAAATGCCTTGATCCAATAAATCTCTCAGGCTTTGTTTTTTTTTTGTTTTTTTTTCTTTTTTATTTCAGCATATTATGGGAGCACAAATGTTTAGGTTACATATATTTCCCTTGCCCCACCTGAGTCAGAGCTTCAATGTGTACATCTCCCAGATGGTCACACTGCACCCATTAAATGTGAATATACCCATCTCTTTCTCCCCTCTCCCATCTGCCCTACACCGGATGAATGTATCACTGTATGTGCACTTAAGTATTGTTGAGAGGCTCTGTGTGTGTATTGGGGCGTGCCTTCATTTTTCTGGTCAGCAGTTTCTGACTCTGACTTAGCTTTCACTTCCTGCTTGCACAGCACTTCAACATCAGTGAAAAGTGAGAGATTAATCATTTTTTCAGCTTTCCTAAGCATACACATAGTCCTGCACATGCACTGAAATAGTTATTTTAAATTATCGTTCAGAGCTTTTAAAAGCATGTGGGCATCTCATTTCTAGTTTTTCTCTTTACATTTTCTGGTGAACTTCTTGTTAGCCCCTTACTGGCTCAGGAAGCTGCAGTGTTAGGCTATTACTGCCTATTGTTTTCAGCAAATGCATTGGGAATAAGGCTGTTCACGCAGAGCAAGTTCTGATGCCAGTTAAACAGAGAAAAGCACCGGGAATGGAGCTTTCCCAGGGAACTGCCAGACAAGTTAAATAGTGGGGCCAACATTTTGGGGAACTCCAAACCTGTCTGTTCCCCCCAGGGTCTGCAAGCCTTCTTGTTTCACAGCTACCGTGGTTGCAAGGCTGTTGGCTTTCAGTTATAGCAAAGTTGGGAGAGGGAGATGTTAAAACACCACAGAGCTCAGTGTTCTTAGTGAGATTCAGCTTTTTTTTTTTTTTTTTTTAGACAGGGCCTGACTCTGTTGCCTGGACTAGAGTGCATTGGTATAAATGTTCCTCAGATTGTTGCAAGACATTGATTGATTTTCAGAGTCCTGAAAAAGTATATTTTGATACTTTGTTGCTAGGATTATGGTTATTTTTATGGAGGAATAGGTTCTTGGGGCCATGACCCTTTAATTCTGAGATATAATATCTGTTAACTGTTGTTTCATAATTTTGATCTCATTTTCCTTTTATTCTATATTCTGAGGGAATTTTTTTTTTTTTTGAGACAGAGTCTCCCTCTGTTGCCCAGGCTAGAGTTGAGTGCCATGGCATCAGCCTAGCTCATGGCAACCTCAAACTCTTGGGCTGCAGTGATCTTCCTGCCTCAGCCTCCCAAGTAGCTGGGATTACGGGCACATGCTACCACTCTCGGCTAGTTTTTTTTTTGTTGTTGTTGTTTCTATTTTTAGTTGATTGGCTAATTTTGTCTATTTTTAGTAGAGATGGGATCTTGTTCTTGCTCAGGCTGGTCTCGAACTCCTGAACTCAAGCAATTCTCCTGCCTCGGCCTCTCAGAGTGCTAGGATTACAGGCTTGAGCCACCATACCCAGACTGTGGGGGGGAATTTTTGAGCTAATATTTCATCTCTTATTGTTTTCATTTTGATTTCTAGCATGGCCCTCAAATTTTCCTTTATTTTATCTATCACATTTTAAATATGATAGAGATCTAGTTAACTCTAAGTATGGCTACACTATCTTCTCATGTCACTCTGGTAATTAATCATACTTATTCCATATTCCTGTATCAGTGCTGTTTTAACTTTATTTCCTTGGCATGTAAATTTTTTCTAATTATTGTGCCTGAGGCCTCTCAAATATTAGTTTTTTTCAAATGATTGGTAGTTTTTGGTTATGTGCTCATCTTTGCATGAGAGATTCCCTGTTAGCTTCTCTGTAAATGTTGGGTTTATTTCCTGTAATTTTCTTCTGGGAGCTGCTAGAAATATTTCCTGGTGCTGTGTGTCAATAGCTAGTTTTCCAAGAGCCCATGCTTTCCCTTCTCATCTTAGGGGTTATGCACGATCCTGCTCTGTCTTTCCAACCACATATCCTCAGTGCTTTCCTAGGATGCATGGAGGGATCATACCTCCTGGATTTCTCTTTCAATCATCCCAGAGATTCCTCCTGCTCCTGATGCATAAAAGTTTTGTTTTATACAAGTCTAGTCTTGAATTAATTTTGGATTGTAGTGTCATACTTTCTTCCAGTTCCTTCTGATTTCAGTCTTTTAAGGTTTTCTCATATTCTCTGTTCTGTTGAAGGAATCTCTTCTCTTCTAGCATGGTAATGAATTTTTAGAAATCTTTCCAGACTGATTTGGGACTTATTTGGGAGAGAAAGCTGTAGCATATGACAAGTCTACCATTTTGAAAACTTCCACAGTTTTTCCTGTTTATTGTCAGCTTTCTACTTTCTGCCGTGAATATGTTGTTCATCTTTTATCGTAAGAGCCTGTCTGGTGCATAATACTTGATAAACAAAAGGTTAGCAATACATTAGCTTTGGAATTTTGACAAGTTCTTAGCGTTCTGCGTCAGAACTAATTAATGTATAAAATGGGAGTTTAACAGTACAAACTTCTTAGGGTTTTGTGAGGATTAAGTATAATCTATCTATCTACCTATCTATGCAGCAATTTAATACTTGTATTGATTGGTTTCTTTTATGCTTTTCTCAGGAGTAATCTGTGATATAAAGTTACTCAGTCTCTAAACAAACTCTGTGTCCACCTTTACTGACGACAATAAGAGTCATAGCAAAAGATAAAAGGACTATTATTTCAAATATTTTCCATCAAAATATCATTTTGATATTTATATCAAACATAATATCCCAGGACCATTTAGTTATGATAATTTCTGTGTGTGGAATGATTTTCATAACTGCATCTGTAATCTCTTACTCTTATTTATTAATATTACTGTCCAGAGTCAAGTTGACTTTATAGAAGTTTATTATGTAGGATTCATCCAGTTATTGTACCCAATCATACCAGCTAAAGGAAAAAGGATACTTAATGACTCATATGACTAGGAAGTCTTAGGAGTTGATCTAGCTTCAGATAAGGCTGAATCTAGGTGTTCAAATAATGTAATCAAGCTTCTCTCCAAGTCTCTAGGCTCTACTGTCCTTTTTTCTTAGATTCACTTTCAGGATGACCCTTTTCATAATGCAGCAAAGATAGTCCAGAGGTGCTTAAGCACTATACATGGTCTTCAGTGCTCAAGATCTCAGAATGAGAGAGACCCATTTCTTTTCAGAATTTATGTTAAGTTATAGAAGCAAACTCCAACAACTCTAATCACTTGTGCTACGACCAATCACTTATATATAGGATAGAGTGTTGTGATGGACCAATAGGAGCCCAAAAGAGGTAAAATCACTTGGTTGATAGTTCTATTAGTATGATGTAAAGTGGAGACAGGATAGTTCTCCAGGAAAAGAGAGGCTCTGTTATTAAAAGTAGGAGTAATAGTCAGGAAAAAACAACAGATAATCGGTACAAGAGGCAATAAAGATGAGGGCACATAGGCAGGTGAGTCATATTTACTGCCACTAATCCTTTATCTCTCTCTTGATAAAGCTTCTTAGGAAGCTTTTCTAAAATTTTGCTTTCTCTCCATATGAGTTATATAGGGCTCTTATTTATTCATTCATTCACTTTCTTATTATAATCATTTATTATATACCTGCAGTTGCAAACTTGAAAATAACTGGGATTCCACGCATGGACTCTTGGATGAAAAGGTTCAGGATTGTTTATATGTGAGTAAGATATATAGATATATTCTCTGCCCCCATGAAATGTATGATTTTGTCACAGTGTTATATGCGATAAATGCAGACACATATATAACTATTTCTAGCACACGTAGAATGGCCATATGAAAATAGTGCATGAGTTCATTCAAGGAGGAGTGGTTGAGTGTGCCTACTCAGATCTGAGACTTGAAGGATGGCTGAGATCTCATTGATTGGAGAGAGCCATAAGGGATAGTCTTTCCATGAAAAAAGAACAGTTTGGACAATGGATTGAATGCAGGAATATGTGGTTCATATGCCCTTGACCTATATTACTTCTGGAAGTGGGAGACTCATCAAAAGGCCACTTTTAGGGCCTAATTGAGTATGGGATATAGGAGTTTAGGCTATGCTGGAAGACCCTTTGTTTTACTTGTAAGTTATTTCTATAATTTCTATAAAATATTGCCTCTCTGGTTGGATAATGAATACTTCCCAGGCAGGGAGCAAATATTACTCATTTTTATTTTTCCAAGTGTTCCAGGCGCTTTCCAGGAACCACTTGTATCAATATGATTGTCCACATTCTGGAAGAGCAAATATGTTTGGCAACCTAACCAGTACTACTTATAACATATGTCCATATTCTCCTTTCTCTCTTAAAGTTTCAATCATTAATAGAAAATGATGAGAAGCTTCATTTCTGCTTCTATATACTTTATTTCTGAATCAGAATATGTATTTATTTATTTGAGACAGAGTCTTGCTTTGTTGCCCAGGCTAGAGTGAGTGCTGTGGCGTCAGCCTAACTCACAGCAACCTCAATCTCCTGGGCTCAAGCAATCCTGCTGCCTCAGCCTCCCAAGTTGCTGGGACTACAGGCATGTGCCACCATGCCCGGCTACTTTTTTCTATATATATCAGTTGGCCAATTAATTTCTTTCTATTTATAGTAGAGATGGGGTCTTGCTCTTGCTCAGGCTGGTTTCGAACTCCTGAACCATTGAGCCGATCTGCCCACCTTGGCCCCAGAGTGCTAGGATTACAGGCGTGAGCCACTGCACCTGCCTGAATCCAGAAATATTTAAATAGTTGTGATACACTTCACATGGACTGTTGCAGGTTTGGTGAATTTGGAGCCTCTCTGACATATCATGGATATATTCTCTTGACAGAGAACATGTCTTTACCGTAGGCCGTGCCATTTTTACACAAAACATCTCATTAATCTAAATAGAGCTATTGCATTTCACTTACTCCTTGACAAATGTTAAAATGAGTCATTGTATTTATTTGACAACATGCATACTGAATCTTTAATATACTCTAGACTTTGTTCAAAGTGTGAACAAAGAACCAGTGAACAAACACAAAGCCTTAATGTTAGGGAACTTACAGTCTATTGTGAGTAGAATAGGTATAAATCATACATACAATTAAGTTAGTGAGATTATCTTGGTTGGTGATACATACACTTATGAAAAGAAAACATGGTGAAGTAATTTATGAATAATGGGAGATGGAGAGACTACCTTTAAGATTGTGCAGTCAGGGCTCTTTGTTAAAAATGGCGGACTAGGATGACCTCCTTGGTCTCTGTTTCTTGGAGAGGGAGGTGAAGAAGGCGGCCTAAGATCTCTCGAGTCGGTATTCTCCCACAGGATCACAGCTTCATGGAATTGCAGGGAAGCTTCGAGGGGCAGCAGTGCTGAGAAAAGGAATAAAGTGCCTCAGTGGATTTACTGTGAAGTTCCGAGAATCCAAGGGGTACTGCGGAGACTGGAGTGTAAGCTGGCCATGCTCAGCGGCCAGCCAAACGCTGTGTGACTTCCCCACAGGGGGACGACTTCTCCTTCACTGACCTCCATGCGCACGCAAGCAGGAAAGTGCCTGAAGACAGCATGAAGAGGTAACGCAGACAGGCAGGCAGGTTGGAGAGGAGGCAGGAGCAGAAGTAATTTGAAATCTCCAGGGCACCTTGTGGGGTAGCTTTGCTGGGGGATCTATAAACGCCATGGCTTATGCCTCGCTTATGAAGGGACAGAACAGTGAGACAGATTGCTCATTTGACTGAGTTGCCGCGGTGGGCTGGGCGGCTGCCAAGTCCTGTAAGGAGGGAGGGGGAAGAGGGGAGTGAGAGGCATCCTCCGGACCCTCCTGGGGTCTCCAGTATCCAAGCCCGCTGCCACCGCACCGAGGACGCGCAGAATAGTCTTCGCCCTCGCGGAACCTGTCCGCGGTTTCCAGCCGCTTGAGTTTTGCTGGTGAAGGGACAGAAGCAGGGTGAGAGCCACTCTCTGCGGACCCTCCCCAGAGTCTCCAGCGCCACAAGCCACGCTGCTGCCGGTATGCCCTGACAGTTTTTCGCTCCTCAGCGGAACTTGTCCGTGGTTACCAGCCGCTTGAACTCTCCTGGTGAAGGGACAGAAGGTGGGGTGAGATCAAACTCTGCGGACCCCTCCAGGGATCTCCAGTGTCTCATCCCGCCACCTGCCGGAGGTGCAGATAGTGTTCACCTTGGCAGAACTTGTCCCGCTGCTTCCAGTCCCTTTGAAGAACTCCTCCCAGTTAATGGACAGAAGCGCGGTGTGTAGAGTCAAACTGCAGTACCCCTCCCAGGGTCTCAGCGTTTCACCTTGCTTGCTGCAAGGGACATTCGGAATAGTGCTTCACCTCAGTGGTAACGTGTGTCGCGAGGTTTCTCAGCCTCTTTAACTCTCCGGGTTAAGGGACAGAAAGGCGGGGTGAGAGCCAAACTCTGGGACGCCTTCCACAGGGGTCTCAGCGTTCATGCACTGCTGCCATGGAGACGCTCGGCATAGTGTTCACCCTTCGGCGGAACTTGTCTTGCGGTTCCCGCCATTTGAGTATCTGCCTGGTGAATAGGACAGAAGGCGGGTGAGTAGCCATCCTCTGCAGAGCCATACAGGGGTCTCCAGGCATCGACGCTGATACGAGGACACACAATATTTTTACTCCTCCGTGGAAGCTTGTTTCATGGTTCCGGCCGAGCCGCCTGAATCTCCCAAGTTGAACGGGAAGCAGAAGGTTGGGGTAGAAGCCATCTCTGCGGACGCCTCCCCCAGAGGTCTCAGCGTCCCAACGCCCGTGCTGACGCTGGGGATGAGTGGACTAGTATTCAACCCTCGCGGTTGGTCCACGGTTCCCAGTCGCTTGAACTTCAGTGAGGGACCAGAAAGCAGGGTGAGAGCCCATCCCCACGGACCCTCCCCCAAGGGTTTCCAGGCAGCGCTAAGCCACAACAGGGAAGCGAAAAGTTTTCACCCCCTCAGCGAAACTTGTCTGCGGGCCCCCAGCTGCTTGAGGCTCTGGCCCGTGAAGGGGCATAAGAGGGCGGGTTTAGCGCCATCCCCGTCCATGGATCTCCCCAGGGGTCTGCCAGGATAAAGCTCCAGCTGGTGAGCAAACAAAGAAAAGGGACAGTCTTCACGCCCTCAGTAGAGATTCTCAGTGGGTCTCTGGCAGGTCAAGCACCAGCTGATTGTAGCTAATATATCGCATTCCCTGCATCTCTGATACCTCAATAAAGCCATGCGCAGATGAGAAAGAACGCCAGCGAAAGTTTTACAAGGAAACATGAAAGGAGCCAGAGAGAAAAGTCCACCCTCCACAGCAAAATACTCATTCTCCTCCATCTGACACAAACTTTACATGATATGAAATCACACTGACAGAGGAAGATTTCCGAATATGGGATTGCTACAAAACCTGAATGGAAATTGAAGAGAAAGATAGAATCATAACTATAGAGAACCCAAGAACAATACAAGCGCAAATGAATGAAAGATTCTCCAAAGAAATTGAGACTGTCCAGAAAACCCAACATGAAATCCTGGCAATTGAAGGAAACCAATAAAGGATCTCATAATTCAGTGAAAGCTAAAGAAGGATGCGAGCGCATGCAGAAGAACAGAATCTCAAGTACTTGAAGATTTATGCCTATGCTCCTAAACAACATCAGAGGCAAGAAAGGGAACAGCAGAAACAAGAAACAAGACCAAGTTTATAGGAAGTGTGGCGATTATGTTAAAACCAAATAATGAGATTGATTGGGAAATCCGGAAAGGGGAAGAGGAACATTCTCGCAAGGGCCTGGAGAAAACTTATTTCACACGGAATACTGGAGGAAAATATGCAGGCCAGCCAGAAACCTTGATATCCAAATACAAGAAGCAACGGAATCCTGGGAGACTCATTGTGAAAGGCATCACTCGCCACCGTGGTTTTTTAGGCCTGACCAAAGTAAATATGAAAGGAAACAATTCTCGCATGCAGCCGAGATGAAAAGCAGCAAGTGATCTATAAACGGTAAGCCTATCGACTAACAGCTTGACTTCTCATCTGAAACCTTAACAGCCAGGAGGGACTTGGGGTGCCTATGCTTAACCTCTCTAAAACAGAAAAGCCCAGACCGTACCGAACTCGTTTATCTGGCAAAATTAAGTTTCATCCTATGAGGGAGAAATAAGTCTTTCTCCAGACAGCAATCACTGAAGGAATTTGCAAAGACAGCAACATCTACAGGAAGTTCTTAGACCACAATTTCTAACCCAAACAGGCGCAGCTAGACACTCCTCAAAGTGAAATGTCAAAGAATTAAAGTTACGATCTCGAACTACACCACTCGCGATCGGCCCAAGGAGTAGGACCAAAGCAACAAGGATCACCCCAACAGATATGAATGGTAATCTCCTCCCCAATTTCAATCCTCTCATAAAATGTAAACAGCTTAAACTGTCCTCCTGAAGAGACATACGACTGGCAGAGTGCATAAAAAGCTCACCGAAAGCTAGCATCTGCTGTCTACAGGAAGACACATCTAACCAGCAAAAGATGCCGCGCTCAGCTTAAGGTCAAGGGTTGGAAAACTGTCATCCAAGTCAAACCCGGAGTCAAAAGAAGCTGGAGTAGCTTATACTATTTGCCAGATAATGATAAGCTTTATGATGAGCAAGAAGTAAAACGATAAAGAATGATCATTATAAATGGGAAAGGAAGATCCA